CGTCAGTCAACGCGCGCACGTTAACCAACTCATGCGCGTCAGTCAACACGCGCACGTTAACCAGCTCGTGTGTGCCGGTCAACGCGCGTACGTCAAATCATCTCGTACGCGTCAGTCAACGCGCACACGTCAACCAGCTCGTGCGCGCTGGTCAACGCGCGTACGTCAAATCCTCTCGTGCACGTCGGTCAGTGCGTGCACGTCAAACCAACTCGGGCGCGTCGGTCAACGCGCGCACGTCACCCAGCTCATACGCGTCGGTCAACACGCGCACACCAATCAGTCCGCGCGCATCGATCAACACGCGTATGTTAACCAATGCGCGTTCGACGGTCGGTCTCACGACGAAGCATACAAGTCAACAAAGCGAACTAAATACGCGAAAAGAACAAGTCTCGGAAGAAAGAGAACAGGAAAAGAAAAAGTCAGAAACCTGCGCGAGCGCAGGGCGGAACAAACCGACCCGCACAAGCGCTGGTCAGATCAGTCTGACCCACGTAAGCGCGGGTCGGATGAAGCAGTCCGGGACCCAAAACACGTTTTGATAGTTTTAAAGCTGTTTTCATAGGATTTATCTGTTCCAGGGGTTCCTAACTGACTTGATATCATCCCTAAACGTGATTAGGCTGTTGTTAACTGAAGATAGAGTCAAATCACTTGTTCTCATCCAAATAACCGCATCCGAGGCCTATAAATATGAACCCAAGGCCTCCATTTTCGAGGGCTGGAATTTTATCAAGAGGACGAGGTGCTGCTGGATTGAAGAGTGAAGGAGAGTCAAATCACTTGTTCTCATCCAAATAACCGCATCCGAGGCCTATAAATATGAACCCAAGGCCTCCATTTTCGAGGGCTGGAATTTTATCAAGAGGACGAGGTGCTGCTGGATTGAAGAGTGAAGGAGCACGAAATTTCAGTGAAGGCTAGCGGGATCCCGGTGAACTTCAGCACAAAGGAGAAGCCGTTCGAAGGATCTGAAGCCCGTACGTCCGTTCCTTGAGATTAGGCTTGGTCTTAATCTCGAGAAGAGCCCTGATTTCGCTTGGTCGATCTCAGCGCTTCAAATCAAATACTTCCTAGGCCCTTCCCCTTGGTTACACCCCAATTTGGGGGGTAACAATTTTTATACTATTAGGGGGTGAACCAAGGTGAATGAAGGTGAATTAACTTCACCTCCTAAGTGTTCCCAAACAAGGTGAATGGAGGTGAATGGTTCCCCTAACTTCCCTTCACCCTCATTCCCCTCAATCCAAGCAAGCCCTTAATCTCGAGAAGAGCCCTGATTTCGCTTAGTCGATCTCAGCGCTTCAAATCAGAAAACTTCCTTGGCGAAGGCGAAGCTCTGCCGAATTTTTCTACAACCGGATCTGATTCGCGGTCGTCCACGGATTAACCCCGGCACTGGCAAAGAACCCACACAAGCAAGAGCTGATAAACGGATCTTGTGTTTATTTTCAAGAAAGTTGTAATTTTTATTTTCGTTATTCGAATTCATTTGTAAACGACTAAAGTTTAATGAAATCAATGATGAAGGCAGCTTTCCACGAAAACAGAAATTTCTTCTGGCCAGGAAGAAATTTAAGCTTAATAACATATTTATCAATGGTAATAAGAAACCAACGATGTATGTTATTATTTCCAATAATAATATCTTCCATATGATCACTTTATATGAAATAGGCAGAAAGTGTCATAGGAGCTTCCCTCTTATCAATGGTTTCAAAGATAATAGAGAGATTTTTGACCTTTTGAGTCATTGTCGTCGCCTTTGCAATAAAGGACGTAATGACTTGAGGAGTTTTGCATTGCCTTCTGTAAGAAGAAGGATCAAATTCTCCTCTAATAATGCTTATATTGACTCCTGTGTCTATTAATGTATGGAGCATAAAGCGTTTATATTTAGGGTATGTAACTGTAACACGTGTGAAACAATTTACCCTTGTTCTTTTATCTAAATTCAATGAATTTGTTTTCATTATTTTCTGGAGTAATAACAGGACATCTTGGTTTTTTTACAGGAAGGTGTATGCTTCTTTGTGTATTCAAGACTTCCTCTTTTTGTTATTTTAAAGATGAAATAGAGCCCTCATCACCGAGGATAACTTAGGAAATTAAATAAACGTATGATAGCTAGTAATATTGTTGTAATGTTGAGCTTGCTGCATAATTTTATTTATATCTCTCTTTTCTTCAACCAAATAGCACAAAACAACACAAATGTGATTAACCTACAATAACAACAATTAGAGTTAGTAATTTGAACAATAAAACTATGAGAAATATCAATTGTAAGACTATAACACAACATCCAAGTTTTTTTATGAAATTACACTCCTTTAGCAGAGTACATAGTCTAAGTTCAATTCAATTTTTTTTTCTTCAACACGAAATTTGCATTTATTACCTTACTTATACAAATCGAATAAATTTTCAAAACCGTCCTAGTTAGACATTTAATCCCAAAAAACTTTATTTGCAAAAACCGACCTGGTTTCAGCCCCAGCGCTGAAACCAGGTCGGTTTTTGTAAAAAAAGTTATGAAACTTCACGGTAGTTCAACTTCCGTGAAGTTTAGCAACTAATTTGTTAAGCTGTTAAACTTCATGGGAGTTCAACTCCCGTGAAGTTTCATAACTCAATTTTTTTAAGCCACGTGAATCTCCAACGCCTGTGACTCCTCCTCCCCCTTCCGCCACCTCATCTCCCTCTCCCTCACCAACTGCTCCTCCTCCCTCTCCTTCCCCTCCAACGCCCTCGTCTCCCTCACCTCCCTCTCCCTCACCTCCCTCTCCATTCTCCGCTGGGCAGTTTTGAAATTTGTCCATTGAAACTGAGATGAGTTCGAGAATGGCGATTACTGAGAAGAAACCCATGAAGGGGAAAGGATTGGGGAGTGTTTTCTTCCATTTTTTTATTGGAACAAGATGCTCTCTTACAAAAAGAAGAAGCTTTTCTTGAGTAACAAGCTTCTGCTACCTTCATGTGCTAATTTGAGGCTGACCCATTTTGTTGTTCTTTGATTTTGAGTGAGAAAAATGAGGAAAGTTTTGATCTTTGTTTTTGTTTTTGATAGGCTCGAAAAAATTTGGTGGGAATGAGAAGATGCCCAGGCTTAAGCAGTTTCTGGTAATTTCTTCAGGCTCCTCTCCGGCAAGATCCCCCACCACTGGAACTCCTGACCCACCTCTCCCGCCCCTGAGCGATAATTTATGAGCTGAAACTTCACGGGAGTTCAACTCCCGTGAAGTTTAGCAACTTAACAAAATAGCTGCTAAACTTCACGAGAGTTGAACTCCCGTGAAGTTTGTCAACTTTTTTCGTAAAAACCGACCTGGTTTCAACCTGGTGCTGAAACTAGGTCCGTTTTTGCAAATAAAGTTGAAAAGGATCGTTTTTTGGGATTAAATTTCTAAATAGGACTATTTTGAAAACTAGTCCTATACAAATCATATATGATAAATTTTAAACAAACAAGAATGGCCTGAAAAACCTAGCCTTTCTAAAAGTCAATCGCATTGTTTATTAACAATCTGTTGCCGTTGAATTTGCATTTATTACCTTACCTAAAAACCAACAATTTTCATTTATTAATTTACCTACAAATCATTTACGACCAAACTTAAATATTCAACTTTGTCATGAAATATTTGGTAGCTGTCGTTATCAACGCCTTTTTTACGACACAATTTGATGACAATTAAAAGGAAACATGGATTTGTTGTCACCACTATAAGTGCATATATAATAAATATGATAGAGATGAGATGGGGTTGAAGACTCATCAGTTTTTGTTTGGAGAAGTCTTTCCTCTTCCAGCATTGGTGAGTTAGGTTTCACGGTTAATTTGAAGATGGTTTTTTTTATTAGAACTAAAGAGTTAAAGAGAGGGAATATTTTGAAAATGAGAGATGATAGATGCGATGTACCTCATTAAATTGACTGTTGCCCTAGGTTTTTCAAGTTTCTCCCCCGATTTTTTTGAATGAGTTGACGGATTTTTAAGCGGTTAGGATGAGCATTCCATAGGCCAGTATACTTTGTAAATGGGTGGGAGAGAGATGTGGGCCAAGAGAGACAGGCTGGCAAGGACGTGTGATTGTGAGGGCCCAAGTCGGAGTTGGGCTAGGAGAAATGTTCAGTGTCGGCCTTAAAAATAATGGATGAGTTGGCAGATCCCTGCTCTGTAATTGGGCCAGTAGAAACTATTCATGGATACTGTTCGAAGTCTTTTGCATTGAGTATGATATATAATTATTTTCTGAGTTTTACTTGTCACCAAATTCATAATATGGTTTTTATGTATAACTATTTATTAAAACTTCAGTGTTAATTTTTTACTGTTATTTATGAGTGAATTTTCGAACTAGTTAATAACATAATATATCAATTAGCAAGTTTCATTAATTTTCTATAATAAAGCCAGAAAAGATTTATATTTGTGAAATATCTTATAAATGTTAGATTCATCACTTGCAAGAAAAAAAAAGATTTGAATAGTATTTTCAAAGTTAAAAACGTCACTTCAGCTTCGAACAACGAATAAAAGGCTAAAAAATTTATTGTAGCATTTTAGAGCTTGTTTAAGTTAAGATTTGAAAATTATATTACAGTATGAATTGTGTTTGTGCGAAACAATCATAGCTGCTCGAGCTATATGGCTAAGGCTGATAAATAGTAAGGTAAATCTTTCGAATCAAGGTGTAGCAAGAATAGTGTGAACAATGATTTTATCGTGAATCATACTGTAGTAAGAGCAGTGTTCACTGTAGTATAAAATAGTAATTTTGAGGTTTTGTTTTTAAGTTATATAATAATAATATAAAAATAAAATAAAATAATAATAATAACAACAGTGGTAGATATATGTTGAGCAGGCTTAATGGGCTTATCAGCATCAAGTGAGGCCCACTCAGTTGAAATCGCATGCACCGTTGACCCCATAGAAAGGGCCCAGCCCACGCAGAGCCGTCTCCGCACGTCTAGATCTTTCTTTCCTCCAACTCATTATCCACCTCCGCAGGCACATCACACCGTGACCTAGAAAATTCTTCTTCCCTGCCTCTCCGTTGAAGTCGAGAAGGACTAGCCAGAGAGCGAGAGCCTCAACCAGCTCAAACCCAAAAGCAGCGGGGCCGGGTGAGGAGATCGACGAAGAGAGAAAGGGAGAGTTTTTTTTATAAAAATAATAAATAAATAAATAAAAATGGGGAAGATTCCGGTGAAGGTGAAGGCGGTTGTGTACGGACTCTCGCCCTTCCAGCAGAAGATCATGACCGGGCTCTGGAAGGACGTCCCGGGCAAGATCCATCACAAGGTCTCCGAGAACTGGACCAGCGTCGTCCTCCTCCTCGCCCCTCTCGTCGGAACCTACACGTAAGCAGATCAAGAAACCATGGCCCTTAGATTTTTTTTAGCTGTCCGATTTGATTCTTCCGTTAGGTTTCAGCTCTTCCTGTAAACAGACGAAACGGGAATTTAACGGCGGAACGTAGAAAAGGGAATTAGGACGGGGTTTTCTTAAGCCGCCAAGTCTAAAATTATTATTACTCGGTTAAATGTCACGTGCGCGATGCACGTGACGGAATTAGACCTCACAGCGACACATTTAAACTGTAACATGTTGTGCTTTTTTTTATTTCTCCGTAGTAAGTTGAATTATGTTTGTTGTTATAGTTTTGTATCTTTATTTCCTCCTTCCTCCATACCATTTAAATCGTCATTTATTTGAATGAAAAAAAAAGATTATCTCGAGTCAATTTTCTATAATTCTTCTACTACCGACCTCAGCCATAGCATTGTCATTTAATTATTGTATTTCAAGATTTAACTTTAGTAGGAGCTCTTCAAGGAGCATTGTCATTTTCTTAACATTTTCATTTTCTACTTAATGTTTGAAAAGCATAAAACTGTCAAAAGTGTTTGTATGAAAGAAATAATTCGAAAATAGAGATAAATTTCTAACTATTGTTTTAATCCTCGTTTATTTTGAACATAATATTTGTTGCTATTTTTCATGTTGAACTAGGATATACACTATTGTTTAATACCTATGTGATTAATTAATTGTGTGGCTCACCAATGTCCTTAGTTTTAGTGGTCAAATTTTTTAGCAAGCTTAGATTGATTTTTAATGGGTTCAAAAGAGGTGTTCTACATCAAAAAGTATAGGGACCTCTTAAAGTAAATCTTCATAGATTAAAAAAATTTAAACCCAATTTCCAACGGATGTTAAACAAGAACTTATTTTGTAACTAAAATATGGTACATAGACTAAGTTGAGGAAAAGAAAGTGGGGGACCGGTTTGACTATGAAGCCTAGTATAGCGGCCAAATTGTTCTTTTATTCTATTAAATATCTACGGGACTAATATAAAAAATCCGTAAATTTATCTTATTGTTTATTATTTAATGGACTCTTATGATTTGTTTTGAATGAAAAGTAAGAGATGGATGCAGTTGACAGGATATGAAGGTAAGTTTATTTGTAATGGAACATAGTAGTTGTAGACAGTGTTATTGAGGCGCGCCCTGGGCGCGCCCCGGACGCGGGGCGCTTCAGCCTGGGCGAAATGCGCCCCGCACGCGAGGCGGGGCGCTGCACGCAGCGAGGCGCGCGCCTCGCGTGCGCCTC